ACACACATACACGTTTTTGTTACCTGGTGGGTCCCTTTGACAGGGCCGTTCAGAATGGGACCCATAGACATAATCTTTTTTTACTGGGACTACTTTAAGTAATACAAAACAGTCAATAGAAACCAAACAACTATTTTAAAGGAATTTTATTTTAGATTTTGTTTTCGAATTGCAGTGATTCTATTTTTGACATAGAATTTAATGCCACTCCATGTCCGATGTCTAAGGTCATCTGGTGAGGCATTAATGCAGGCCAGGCAGTGAGACTTCCCAGGGACCTTTCCAGTCTGTATGAAAGGTGTCATGGTCTTCTCCACAGCCTTCACCTCAGATGCAGACCATGGCTTTCTTACACGTTCTAGGGAGAGAAATAAAAATATATTAGCAATATACACTCCCAGGGTTAGGACCAAGCAGCCTGGCTGTAATCCCCCACCTGGTACACTTACCAGAAGGGGCACTGCCACTACCATGGGGTGCATCTGGATGAATGGTTGAAGGTTCTCCGCTTGAAGTTTCTTTTAGCCCGTCCGTTTGTGAGAGGATCTCTACTGCTCTCCCTGTCGCACAGAAAATAAAAATACAAGTGGCCTTTAGGGGAAAAAAATCATACATATTTTAATAATATCAAGAATTACCTTCAGGCTCAATTTGTATCTGGTCGAGGCTCTTTCCTTCGAATTCCGTCACTCTTCCCTGCTCCATGGCCATCAACACTTTGCTGATTTTGGCCAGCTCCAGTGTCCCCTCTGGTAGTCTGTAATATTGCCTGTGGATGCGAATGTCATGGCCGAGGAAGTTGGCAAGTATGTCCATCTCATTCTCTTTCATATTGAGAACTGTAGACATAGTAGCTATGTGCTTTCTAAGTTTGGTTGAGGATAGCATCTCTGGATGCACCGCACCACATTCTTTGGCTACCTGGCGTAGGGAGTCTGATCCCCTGATGTGGGTGTCTGCGCCCGGGCGGGAAAAGAAGTATGGGTTATGGTCAGAGATGGAACAGGCCCTTCTGTTCTCCACCAGCACCTCCATCGAAGCAATCATTTCAGGAGTCAAAAGAACCGGCACTTTCCGACTTCTTTTCCCTTTAATTTCAATGCGTTGAAAATGCTGACACAGCTTTTTCTCAAGTTGGGACAGTCCCAGAGCAATGTCAGAATGGATCCCAGTCTTACTTCTTAAGGTAAAGGCTGTCAGTGGCATCTTTGAAACCTCACCTTCCCTTCTTCGATTGAAAATGATGACCTCACAAAGAGTCAAAACTGCCAGTTTAGACCAATGCTTAGACGTTGGCTCACTTATTAGGGTTTGCACATATTCAGGTCGACATACCTCAATATGTGCATGCATGGCTCTAACGTCCTCAGTCAGAGGGAGCAGGTCCGGAGTGTTCCACTTGGCTTGCCGGAGGGTCTGTAGGGCAGCAGAAGAAACACAGACGTCCCACCTCTTCTCAAAAAGCAGCCGGCTTCGTTGGAGGTTTTTAATAAATAGTTCATCAACACAATGCTCCATTTTTGAGTCACATTCAAGAATATCTGCTAGCTTTCTGAGGCTATGGCCGAGTTTGAGGGCCAAGGATGGAGTCTTGTATTGATTTGTTTCCTCATCATATCCAGCCACAGACCTGACTGCATCAATCACATGGTTAAAGTTGGAAGGAATAAAGAAATCCTTAATTGTTTTCAGTTTCCCTGCGGGTTTTGCTTCGTTAATTAACCTACCGACTTCTTTCATTTTCGGCCTAATGTAATCATGCTTAGTCTTATCATGCCCGTGTTTTAAGTACAGGTGCTCTCCGAGTCTCAGAATCCCCTTTTCTGCTTTGACAACACCCGTGACCTCATCCTGATGCATTGCCGAAATTAAAGACCACAGCTTTTTGCTGATGCCCTCCGGTACAGGCTGGGCTAGGGAGCAGAGGGACTGGACCCTACTTCTACCTGGTTTAGCCTGGGCATCTTTCTGTGAAAGCCGGCACCTGGCCACATGCCTCCACAGCGACTTTCGCTTAAGCAATACCCCACAGTCTATACAGTGCAAAAACTCACTGGATTTAACTGGGGAATTTGGCTGTTTAGCTGGGACTAAAGTTCCAATGCCGGCCTTTAAAACCTCAAAATTGTGCTCACGGTTTCCACTATTCCTGATCAAATCAAACTGAAGTTTACGTGCTTTAGACTTCACAGGTAGAGCCAATGCTCTGGCTACGTCACTTTCATTTCCATGTTTTCTAGTCAAATGACGGGACATTTTGTGGCAGGACATTGAACAGTAGAGGCAGAAGTGTCTCTTGCTGTAAACCCTGCCCCCATTTTTCTTCTTTTGCAGCTGCATGATAACAATCTTATTTGCCTTTGGTTCGTCACTTTCCGAGTCTTGAAGAAAAGTGTTTTTGATTTTTCTTTTTCCATACTTTTTTACAGGTTTCTTCTTGACAGTTAAATTGTCAGAATCTGAGTCGACTTCATCAATTAGGGACTCTTGACTAAGCTGCACAAACAACAAATAATTTGTAATAATTCTATATAACAATTTGAAGTCATGACTTGTAGTCAGCACTTACCAGTGGGTTGTAAGCGTGCGCTTCAGTGTGCTCCTCCATGATGTCTTGCAGCCTAATGAACCACACACTTGCACCTTTTCACCTGACTTCCTCTGTTGTGCTGCTCCATGATTGGCTCCAGCCTGCTGGACTGAAATTGCCCCAGTGTGCCCCTCCCTGATATCCCGCAACCCACCACCAGGGTTCCGACACATAACACACTTTTTTCAGGAAAGTAAACCTCCAGGGGTCCTTTCCATATTTTTACAGAGACTGCATAAGGACCGTTAGAAAAGCATTACCCATTGATTATTAAGCTTGGACCAGTGGGGTCCGGTGTTCGGGCCCCACCACGTAAAACCAGTCCCCATGACGTGAGTGGAATCTCAGGTTATGGAACCCACTAGGAGTTGAAAACCAGTGCACACACACACACGCACGCACGTACGCGGAACGACACAGGACCCAGAGGAGAGAGGGGCCCCAGACCCCACCAGGCCCAGGACTCAGACCCCATAGGACCCAGAGGAGAGGGGAGGCCCTAGACCCCCACCGGATCCAAGAGCCAGACCCCCGAAGCCACAGCAGACCCCAGCTCCCAGTGCAGAGGGCTCCTCCAGAGGAAACACTGGGGACACTAAAACAATACAATAATACAATAGAAAGTAGAACAATAAAATGAGACACTAAAAAGAAAAATGGCAGCTGCCTAATATTCATAATAAAAATAGTAAATGGGTAGATACAATAAATAATTAAAAATAGTAAATAATAATAAATAAAAAAATAGAATGTGTCTAAAAACATAAATAGATGTACTAAAAAGCAATAATAAATTATAAATACTAATCAAAAGCTACTCTAAAAAGGTGTGTCTTGAGCCTACTCTTAAAAATATGAACGTTCTCTGCGGCCCTGAGCTCCTCCGGCAGACTGTTCCAGAGACGGGGGCCGTAGTGCTGGAAAGATGACCTCGCCGTGAGTGTGTGTCCTGACTTTGGGAATGTTTATAGGAGTCTGCTGCCGGAGGAGCGCAGGGGCCGGGAAGGTTCATAGGATTAAAGCAAATCTGAAAGATAAGAAGGCCCAAGACCATTAAGACATTTAAAAACCATTAAAAGAACCTTAAAATCGATCCTGAAACACACGGGGAGCCAATGCAGCGATTTTAAAACCGGTGTAATGTGGTCCCGCCCCCTGGTCTTAGTCAGGACACGTGAAGTAATTGTAAACCTGAAATGTTCTTTTTGGGAAGACCAGAGAGCAGGGCATTACAGTAGTCAATGCGACTGGTGATAAAAGCATGCATCAGCGTCTCCGTGTTGGCCCGAGAGAGAATGGGGCGGACTCTGGCGATGTTCTTTAAATGATACAAACCTATTTTTGTGATGTTCTTGATGTGAGGAATAAAAGTCAGCTCAGAGTCAAAGATTACGCCCAGGTTTTTCACTTGTGATGATGGATTAAAAGAGTGTGATTGGAGTTTTGATAAAAGTTTCTCTCTCTGGGCCTCAGGACCGATGACTAAAACCTCAGTTTTGTCCTGGTTGAGCTGGAGAAAGTTTTCTGCCATCCAGGATTTCAGGTCTAAAATGCAGTTAAAAAGAGCATCCATTGGCCTGGTGTCATCAGGAGACATGGAGATGTACAGCTGTGTGTCATCTGCTTAACTGAAGTTAATTCCATGTCTCCTGATGACACCGCCAAGAGGGAGCATGTACAGGTTAAAACGGACTGGACCTAAAATGGATGATGGATGATGGATTGAAAATATGAATCAGCACAATCAATTCAGCCAGCAGCCATCTTGGGTTGCCAGATTTTCTCCACACATGGTGCTGACGGAAGTGAGATGCCGAACCCATCTATTCACTCATTAGATGCATACCTATTCTGCATGTTTTTAGTGGTAAGGAGAAACTGGAGCACCTGGAGAAAACCGGAGCAGACACAGGGAGGTCACGCAAACTCCACTCAGAAAGGCCCTCTTCCAACCAGGATTTGATCCCAGGATCCTCTTGCAGAGAAGCCAGAGTGCTATCTACTCAGCCACTGTGTCGCCCCATAATATGAATTGCATTTTCCATAAAACGTTATTTTGTAATGAGAGACAATCATTTGCACTCTCAAATCCAGCATTAATTATATTCACCCTGACTCACAAATTAGAAAAGAAACATAAACACATTAATGTTCTACATTAATAAGAGGGCCCTCTTGTCCATCTTGTAGTTTTGTCTTTAGTTTTCACCAAGAAGTTAGTTCTGGTTAAATAAAATAAACTAGTTTGTCAGTGCTACTTCTGGATCTGTGGTACAATGGGCTGTCATAAATATAGTTGGTATAGTTCTATGTTCCTTAAATAATCGACTAAAGGTGCAATTCTTCTGAATTACATTTATTTGAAACAAAAGTAATCTTTGTTTTTGTCTGCCTGCAAACTAATTGTAAATTATGTCTGGAGGTGAAGTTGTTCCTTGTTCCTTTGTAAGCTGTGTCCATGGACCATCATAGTATTTTCCTCATGCTGCTGGAGGTGGAGTTGTAGTAGGACTTTTTCACAGCTCAGTGCATCTCTGCGCCTCCTCAGAGCCTCCTGTTGCAAAAGATCAAAGTTCTGTTGGGCAGTAACTTGTATCCGGATACTTCTTGAACTGATCTTCCTTTGAAAAGGTATAATATAATATGCAGAACTGCATCTCATACTTCACAGTATGGCAATAATTTATATTTTAGCATTCTAACCAAATCATCAGCACTTAAATCCATTTGTTGGTTGTCAAGATTTACAAATGTAATTTTGCCTGAATACATGCATGAAACATTGAACAGATGGACTTTTCATCTAAATGTGTATTATATGCGGTATTTTCAATTCTAGTTCCTTGCTCCTAGAGACAGACATTCTTTTTCTAAAATGTGTCTTGACTAGTATGTGTTCACCTCTGTCAGTTCATTTCCATGTGGAAGCTCCAGCTGATCTGTGACAGGCAGATTTTCCTCCTGCTTCTTACATTGTTTAGCAAGACATACTATATTCTGTCTCTGAAATATACACATTTAAAGTTGGTCAGTCAGTTTAGAGAAAATATTTCACTTCAAATAAAAACTAAGGTCAACTGTATACTTCCTGTTATGCAGAATGTGAAAAAGATTGAAGCTTACTATGTTGAGCGCATTCAGCAGGCCCGTGGCTGCCTTGTCACTGTGCTCAGAGAGCACAGAGAGGTGTTCCCTGTGCCTCATGTCTGAGACTTTAGTCACAGCCTCCTCATTGATGACAACCAGCTGTTGTTGAAATGTCGACAGCCCATGATCATTAGAAATTAACAGCATATTCAAACCAAAAGACTTGTTCTGGGGAAGCACAGATGATTAAAGTATTAAAAAGTAAATATGTTTTAAACAACTGTTTTTGTTCTGACCATATGAAAAAATAATATTGATATTGGAACATAAATGTACATCTGTTCTTAGGCTGTAGTGTGGTTTTTCTTATGCCTGTATTGGTTTTCACCTCAAGCAACTGTAGTTCCATGTCGTCTTTTCTGCTTTCTGCTTTGTTTTCTTCAATTAGAGCACCTGTCATTTTTTTCTCAAAGATCTGGTCCTTCAGCTGAAGGTCTGGTCTTTCAGGTGCTGGTAATGCCTCAATCACCTATATGTAGAAAATTATTTATTTAATCTATACTGTAAGTACTGTACATACAACACACATTTACCTTGGGCATTTGGGGGATCTCAAACAGACTGTCCAGTATCTGACAGTACTCCTCGTCATAACTGTGTTGAATCTGTAAAATGTTGTTCTGGTTTTGTTGAGGTTCTGCTGCAATGTCTTGCCTGAAATATTTTAGCTTTGTAATTATTGCAATAGAAACAGATGTACAACTTTGCCTAGCTATTGTTGTATATTATCAGTATGAAGCAAAGTTTAAGCTGTGGTGAAATTGAATGTGAAGAACTTATCATTGTGAGTTACTACTTATCCATCTTTCTGATTATTGTGATATAGTATGTGTCATAACTTATTTTATTTAGATGTTTCCTAATATTCCATATCAGTCCCTGAACTATGCAGTCCCTGTTCTTATGCCCTGGATCAAAGAAATAAATTGGACTGAACAAGCAAATTAAAAAATTGTGCCATCCGGAGAGATCACAGTGATAAATCCATAGAGCAATAAATAAAAAATGACTTCTATATCAACTATCAACATGTATAAGTTACCATATCTTCCTGGGAGTCAATTATTAACTTTTAAACCACCAAAGAAATATACTACAATCTAACTCCAGCCGTTCTTCACTCACAAAACCAGATTGGTTCTATCACTAGTGATCCCATCTATCTTGGGTCTCTATCACATGTTCGCAAAACATGGAATGTTTTCTCATAAACTGTCTTTTTCTTTTACTCTTTCTGTTGGGACAAACAACATGGATTAAGGTACCCCCTCTTTAAGGCTGTGTTTTTGAAGGTGCTCTCCCATTCCTGCTCCAGAATGTCCTTGTGTCTCTCATGCAGCTCCACCAGACTCTGTATGTGCCTCAGGTGAGAACTGTGCAGCTGGTATAAATGTCTGTCCTCTCCATCAGCATTAGGATCCATGTTCTACAGAAAGTCACATTCATAAACACAGAACTTAGAATCACATGCAATGGAGAGCTGTGCAGTTGACATTAGTTTTTGCCACCCAGTTTTACTTGACTATGTGGGGAAAAAAATAACCTATACATTGTAGTAAGAACTTCCTGTTGAGCTGGACCCCATCCAGCTCAACAGCATTTGCACTACATTTACACTTTTCATCTTTATTAATCCTTTAAGCTGACAAAACCAACCGTATTCAATCTGACAGCACTCAGGGCAGCTTTCTTATAAGTTATAATATCATATGCGTAATAAGCATTGCAGTTTAGACCATTACAAGGCTCAATAACCTTTAATAATTACTCAGGCTGCTCTATTCATAGTGTAGATACTTTGTAAAGCATATACAGTTGCTGTTCTTCCAATTGACTAGGTGAACCTGGAATATACTACTTAGGAATAACTTTCTTCAGTCAAAAGAACCACAGTTTAAACACAACTTTACAGATATCGGGCTTCCCTGGATGGTGCTGCTGTTCCTAAAGGTCTGCTCCAGCACATGCATGTCATTCTTCTTCTCTGTGGATTTACTCCGACGCAGGTTTGACCTCCAGCCGTCTTTCATCTTCAGAAGATTCAGCGCAGTAGTTCTTTCATCTTCTTGGAGCTTTTCCTGAATTGGGTAAAAAACAGGCCAAATCAGGCCAAATTGAAACAATCTTTTTTGGTTATTTGGAGTTTTTTTTTCAATTAAAGGTAAAGGTAAAGATGCACTCTAAGGCCCTGTTTTCTGGCTGGGATTCTAACCCAGGATGCTAAGAAGCGAGAGTGCTATCCACTCAGCCATCCCATTTTATTATTAATTAATAATACAATATTTAACATTCTTTCTTTTTAGATTAATATACATAATACACCTTACAATTAATCCAGTTTGAAGGTTAGTAGTAGTAGTAGTAGTAGTAGTATTTGTTGTACAATTAGTGTGTTACCCTGAGGAAGTGTGCGATGAGGTCTCCTTTAATGTGGTCTAGCTCTGCATCAGTCTGAGCCCCCGGAGGTCTGTTTTTTTCAGACTTAACAGCTTTACCGCCTCTGCTTTTCTTTCCTTGTGGCATCGCAACTCCAACCGGTTACCTCTGAACTGTAAAACTAACACACACATTTTTTATTCATATCATTATAAGCACTGCCTTCCTCATTGTATTAACTTTTTTGTATTCAAATTAATGTCAAATACAATATTCTTGTATAGCCCTAAATCACAACAGCAGTCATCTCAGAGAACTTAACAAAACCATTGAAATCACCAACACAGATCAGAAAATCAACAGTTAAGACACAAAAAAAATATATACATAACACATATGTATTGGACCATAAGGAGAGAACAATGTCATGTTGTTCTACATGTTGTAGAATGTTAAAGTGACCTGGATCATCACCACAGTCCTTCTTGTTAAACACTAAACTGTCCAACAGATCCTCCTGCATCGGCAAGGAAAAAACCTCGAGGAGATCCACATTGAGAGAGGGATCCGCTCCACACACGGACGGACATGCTATAGATCCAGGACCTAAGCTACAGAACGAGGACCAGGGCCACGCATCGGCCGCAGAACGTGGATAGGTCCGGTGCAGGACTGAAGCAACTCCCAGGCGGGTCGGACAGCGCAGTCCGCAGACCAATGGAGGGGGCCGGGTTCAGAGGTCCCGTCGTCACGCAATGAAACAGACAATGGGACAACGGGTGGATATAAATGAACAGACTGCAATCAAAATCCTAATAATAAAGACAGAGAAAGTAGGAAGGAGGACCTCAAGTTACCATTCTTCTCCCAGCAAACTGACTCCATACGCAGCTTGACTGACGATCTAAGATGTTTAGCCTTCCCTGAGTCTTAGCTTCCTAACCATATGCTAAACTGAAGTGGATTGTTTTAGTGTTTAGTGTGTAGTATCTTTCAAATTAATATTGTAGTTAAAATTCTGTGAATAGACTGAGCCACCCTACTGAAAACATGATTTTGTATTGAGCCATTTATAAGTAGACTTGTGTAGTGTGTGTTAATGTTCTCCTTGTCACTAATTTAGGTAATGTGTATTGTCTGGTTATTACTAGGAATATATCTTACGTGCTTTAAAGAGAGATACACCTTATGAAACGTTTGACGAACGAATTTGACTACTCAAGTGGATACAGTTTTTTATGCGTTTTGACGCATTGGGACCGTTATGATCAAAGACTGTAAATATGTTAGGACTAAGGTTAGGACTGAGGCATAGAACAAATAACCTTGCAGCCTAGGGTAAGGGATGTCAGTTAGTGAGTTAGTCATTAGATGGGATGCTAATAATGCATACATACATAGTTACATATATCTTACTGTTTACCTTTAATTAGCTAAAGTCGCCCTGACGCTCTTGTCCTTTTAACTTAACCACTTCCCTCCAGTATCCACCAGGGGGCGACAACGCAGTTCGAATTGACGCATGGAACTAATGTATCTGTAATGTAAAGTAGGTACACCTCACATCATTAAGTCAGTGAACGAATAAATAAAAGCTATGGGTATCATATAATCAGTAATGTTTCACATGCGACGTTCAGAGTATGCATCACTGACCATTTATTTTGTAATATCCGGGAGCCGGACGTTGGGACTTTGTCAGCTGAGAATTCTGTCCAATACGAACCTTGGTGCAGGAGGCTGATACCCGAAAGCAGATTACTAACTTTTATAATGGCTGTGTTGTGGCCTGAATGTTGACAATTACCGCAAGGATGATGAACGACATTATAGAGGAGCCTGAGAAAGACAACCTCCTGGATGCGGTACCGAGGGTGCAAGTTTTGACGGTACTAAGCTAACTGTAAACATTAGCGTGTAGCTTAGCTCCGGGATAGCCTAGCGTCATGATACTAACTATAATCAATGATATCCATCCATAGCCATATTGTATTATATTGGTTAGTGTAGTTCTTAATGTCTGTGTAGTAATCAACGTATTACAACATAAGAATTCCGGTGACTGTTCATCTCAGATATCAATATATCCATACAGCGAGACAAAACCAATAAATGACATACACTGTGTTGATTATATCTGCAATCTTTAATGTGTGTGGTGATACCCTCAGGGCCCCAATAACAGTGCAAGACCTAAATCTAATGCAGAAGGAAATGCACGGCCAATGGAGAAGAGAGGACCTTACATCATGTCAAGAGCTCCTGCTATCCATCATAAACTGCGTAAGTATGACAATAAAGATGTATGCGTTTTGTATTTGAGTACTGAATAATGCTTTCAACATGATGTTGCACATTATAGATAAGCAGCCTAATATGTTGTTATTATGGTGATATTGTACTATACAATTTATTTTACATTCAGCAGCTTTAAATAACTATTTGACAGCTTTCCACATTTTGAAATGGCTTCCTTGGTCCATAGTATGTTACATACCTCCCAAATGATGTTTGTGGCAAAAGTGACTGAATAAGGGATTGTGTCTTTTTGTTCCATTAGAGAAGCACAGGGAAATGGCAAGGAAAGCGCTTAAAAAGAAAGCCCTTTCGCCAGGACCTCCAGTGTTGCATCAGCCAAGACAAAGTGGAAAAAGGTAAACTGAAGAATGTGAGGAAAGGGTCAATGAAACAAGGAACTATGTTTGTTAAAGGTGATGCTTCTCCCTTTGTAGGAAAATGAAGTATAACAAAGGCTATGCTGCTTTGAGTCAGCATGCAGAAGAGACATTGGTTGCTCTGGAGTCAGACAGGTATGTTACAAGCTAATTCTTTAGCTTTTTTGTTTAGGCCCAACCTTTCATTTTCCACATGTAGAAAGACCAAAGGCTATGCCATTTCCTTTTATCAGGAATGGAAAGTGCAACATTGCTTGTCAAATACAATTTCATATTTACTTTCGCTCTGTGGACAGACTCTCTCAGGGTGTATTCAGACCTGCACATTTGCTCCACTTTAAACGGACCAGGATTCGTTTGGAACTCTGATCCGAAGCTTTTATGCAGGTCTGAATACACACAAACGAATCCTGGTCCGGACCAAAGAACCGAACCGAGACCCACTTTTTGAGGTGGTCTCGGTCCGCTTCCAAACGAATTCAGGTCCAAGTCGAATCAGGTCTGAATACATCCGGTGTCGATCCGACACAACTCCAAGATACGTGCGCATTTTTTGGGCTTAACAAGCCGCAGACAGAAACTGAGGAATTAGCCATGCAGCGGCTAACTATGCGGCTAACTATGATGCTAACTATGCTGCTAACGCTACACAACAACACTGAGCCGTGTGCAGACCTGGAGCAGTGAGGAGACGCTGTGCAACAGACTTATGGAGTTACAACTGTTCACAGTTTACAGTTATGTTAACGACAGCATCTTCAAACCATTTGCATTATTAAAAGCCTGACACTGTTTGACTCACGTCTCAAAGAGCAATATCCCGCATCATGTAGTGAATTGTGTTCTTTGGTTCCTACCTTATCCTCAGCGTCTGTTTGTCCCGTGGTTATTATAGATCCATGGTTTATCCACAATGCTGAACAGGGCCTTTTATTATAATAGATCCATGTGTGGGACAGGCCACGGAGCGCACAGACAGTCTCCTTCGTCTTTCTCCTCACACATTCTCCAACACTGTTCCAATATTTAAAACAACGTGTTTCGCCTGCGTCATATGAGCTGCTGTTGATGTTGAAGGTGGTTTTGCTCTAAAAAGAGCAAACACAGGCAGAGCAGACATGCTGCACATACGAGCTCCATGTTTTCCGCCGGTTCCGCGTCTATCCTCCGTGAGCTCTCGCTGACCAATAGGAGCGCAGATCGTCACACGTGTCAATATGTTTATATAAAAAAGTTCACTTGCAAAAAGGACAGTCTGAATACGAACCGGAGCAAAAAAAAAAGTTTGGTCCGCTTTTGATTCGGATCAAGCAAGCGGAGCAAAGGACTTTTCAGGTCTGAATACACCCTCAGATGCTTGTGTGCTTCTCTGTGAGACCGCTGTGGAGCCACAATAGGAGAATCTTTGTTTACAACCGTGCGCATGCGTGCGCATGCGCCCCTCGCTGTGTGGCAAGAAGACAGAGCGACCCATACTGAAGCATGGATGCGACGAGTACTTTTAAAAGACTCAGTGGGCGAATAGCACTGTATATTAGCACTTTAACGCAAGAAGATCAGAGGAGATATAAAGACAAGCTAAAAATAGGTATATGAGAACGAACTGAACAAATTCAAAGCCCATATGAGACCTTGGAGGACGAGAAAAAACATTGGTCAGGCTCACCTATTTTTTGGCACCGATCTGCTGGGACTGGGACTCGGAGACATTTATTCTTACTTCATAGAAAACCCTGGACCTTTCACTCAAGATGGGTCCGTGGGGAAAATCCATTTCGCGTTTTTCACCGCGGTAAAGTGCCCCGGCATTTTGCCACGCATTAATAGCGGGTTGCTCCTTTTTGCTGTTGCTTACGGTAAAGGTGGAACAGGAAGCCGCGGGGATGAGCATCCAAAATTCAATGTTTAAAATTAATCATCATTCATGAATGAATGAATAAGTGAACAAGTGTGCAGTGAAAGTAGTTGCAAAACTCAAATTTGTTTGAATTTTTATCCCCTAATCCCCCCGGCTTCCCGTTCTACGTTTACCGTAGGTACCAGCATAAAAGGGCAACCACTTTAACGCAGCCGTTTTTCGCTGATCTTTTCCGAAAGAATTAGAAAAAAAACGTAATCTGTCCCCAGCGGGCCGTACAAACGACCACACAACAAGAATGGACCAATGTCCACAATAAAATAATGACTAACCGTGCTTGTTAACCAGCAGCCCAGTCCTCCACTGACAAACCTCTGACAAATGTTTCAAGTGTGAGTTTACACCAACAGGGCAATACAATGTTATATTTGAGCTTACGAAAGGAATTGCTTTATCACATCACAGATCGACTTAATGAATGAATGAATAATTGTATATTTAACGATGATGATGATAGTGATAGTGGTCTTAGGTGCCAAGAGGGTAGACTTGCTGCCTTGCTACCGTCACTACTGAACGTGGAGTGACTGAATATTTACTTGAGTGTGGCCATACCATGGGCCATACCTGCATGTGAAAGCCAGATCTTTTCAGACCTCTGAAGATAAGCAGGAAAGGGACTGGTTTGTACTGTGATGGGAGACCTCTGGGAACACCAAGTACCTCAGTGGGTTGGCTGTAAAGTGCCAAATTGTCGTTGTGTTCTTAGGCAAGACAGGTTTTATTTCGCGCACTCAAAGACGCTTTACATGTCACTATTCATTCACTCCAAACACGGTGGTGATAAACTACTGCTATAGCCACAGTTGCAGTAGCACCCCCACTGACAGAAGCAAGGCAACCAGTTTGTGCAATCGGCAGCTCCAACCAACCATTCACACACACAAGACTCATTCTAGGGGTGAAGTGTCTTGCCTGAGGACATAACGGCAGTTTGGCACTTTACAGCCACCCCACTGTGGCACCTGGTGTTCCCAGAGGTTAAGTGTCTTGCCAAGGACACAACGAGAGCAGACATCAGTGGGAGTTGGTGGAGAAAGTCTTGCGGTGGGCTCGAACCCGCGGCCTTCAGGCTCAAAGGCCAATGCTCTACCAACTGAGCTACAGATACTTCATTGCTACATTGCCTAAAATTAGTCTGGTATTTGCATCAATGGTTGGTCGTGGTCAAAGGGGCCAATGGCACGTACTGATTGCCTTGCTACTGTCAATGTGCCCCAGGGCAGATGTGGCTAAAGTAGTAGGTTATTGCCTATGGATGATGCATTAGTGAAGCGTTTAGAGAGACTTCTACGAGCCCATAAAGCCCATTACAAGTACAAAGCAATAGGGGAACATGTTTTGGATGCACTTGCGTTAATTTGCAGCACATACGTTGTATAGAATAAGAAAAACACAGATCAAATTATATATATAAATTATATACAGAGTTGGACAAATCCTCTAATAGTAATTAATCTACACAAAACTACATTTAGTAGACCAAAGCTTTAGGAAATGTTTCCAATATTAGATTATCGATTATGATTTGTGGATCATATTCTTAAACAACCTTTATATAATGTGTTCTTCTTGGAATAACCCATTCTTTCTGTTTATAGTGATGAAGAGATTGATTTTGAGCATTATTCCTCAGGATATTCTTCAGCTGAGGTACTGTACTTCTTCAATTCGATAGGGTATTTTAATTATTGTTTAATTAAGTGTTACTTGAACAATACTTGACGTTAAGTTACTTCAAGTGTTAGTACAATTGTACTACTGGCTGAATAAGTATTTGTAATTTTGTAATACATATTGCAAACAAAAAGATAATTGTTGTAAGAAACAAGAATACATTCTTGTTGAGTTGCTCTGAACTCATTGTAAAAGGGAGCTTGTGGTTAATCAGACTATTGTGACATTTTACAGATTCATCCTGATCTAAGTAAACAGCTTCTTAAAGATGGTTATAATCTCGATGAGATACCAGATGATGAGGACTTGGACCTTATCCCCCCCAAAGCCATGGGTTCTTCGTTGTGTTGTTGCTCGGAAGGGCCGTCCTGCTCCATGCAGTGAAGCTGCTGCATTTGCCCTTACTCCATTCTTCATTCTTTTCTTAGAGGTTCACATTTTTAAAACCTCAACGTCTGAAGCCAAAATGTATGATTCCAGGGCTTTGTGTATGCTTCCCAGGGCTAAGTGTACCTGCACAGCACACAATGGACACGGACAACTATAAGAGCAAGCCTTATCCACTGTGACCCTATTTTTATACAACTACAAAAACGACTGTGTCTTCTCAGTGTGGTTGCTTTTGGGCTCTGTGGACAAACGAAAGACTGGTTCTCGTCACCTGCACTATGTGTTAAAGGGACAAATGATATGTTCACCATATGGTTCATTATAGTTACATCTTAGTTTTGTACCAACTAACCAAAGTGTTATATGGCAAATGTTAAACAAGCATTCTGCTTAATAACATTTACAAACTGCAGCTCCTCGCAGCACTTTCTGTTTGTAATGTATCCATAAATATGCAACTAAACACATTACAGAAATATATTGTTAAATTTAGTGAAACAACAGCAACTTTGTCCAGATGAAAAATTACTGGAGTTAAACTCATACAAACACACTTTATGGTATACTTATGTTTTTATGCATGTATGCTTAAAACATTTTTCAACCCATAAAAAAACAAAAAAAAAAATCTAAAAACATATTATTTAAGTATTTATTTTTTTATATTCTAATTGTATAGTATTTTATTCAAACTTCAAAATGTAAAAGCCTCTTTTACTAAAACATTTTGTTTTGTTCTGCATTGTTCTCAAGTTTGCTTCGACTTGTTTAAAAGGGTCATAACAGATAAATAACGATTACTGAATGATTGGTGATTAGTATCTTTTTGTCATGTTGAAGTGGGGGGAAGTTGAATGTTGTATGTAAATGTTACAATGGAAAACATTGATCAGACTGTCTCAATTCTTACACAGCTGTACTATGCAACTACTGGGACAATCTGTGTAAAACTGTATGATGTGACATAAAATATTACAATCTGCCTGTGCTCGTTCTTTTGTAATTTGTTTACAATACTCGAATATATTGTAGTTGTACTCTGGAATTCCGTTAGAGGGCAGTCTTATCCTTTATCAAGTCCTGCATTATAATCGATAACGATATTAAAACGCTTTCTCAATACAAAAATGTTGTAGCCATATTATACAGCTAAATTTATCGATTCATTAATTTGATTGTTATCCTGCTGACAATTAGAAAATTCCAAAAACGTACTATTTTTGTGTGGGTTCCTAAACACAATTATTAGAATAATAACATTCTGGTTTAACTTGTAAAAACTAAAACGTACTTTTTGCAACATACGTTCTCAATCAAGGGCATGTGAAATAGAAATAAAGTGGCTGGTGAGACTTGTTGCTGTGGACTGTATGCTGGGCGGGCCCTTACTGCTGTACGCCATGTGTGTGTGTGGGGGGGGGGGGGGGTGTCAATTCAGGCAGGGGGGGCAAACAAGTAAAGGGAGTTACCTCTGCGCCTTTCGAGATATGAGATCTGGACATTTATTATTGCAACTCGTGTGCTAATCAAAAGACAAAAGTCTGTGTTTGTCGCCCGGGAGAGTTGTGCAATCCCGCAGAGCAGCGCAGAGCAGAGCAGCGCAGACGGCCGCCTGCTCTCAGCCTTCGCACACACGGCTCCCGTGTGTTTACAAGTGTTTGAACCAGTGCCAGAAACGAGGGGAGAAGCAGGATAAAGCCAAGGAAGGAGGGATGGTGGACAATTCCGGCAGCAGTAAGGCACAGATGGTGAGTGGTGCTGGCGCTTTGCCTTCATACCTTTGATTACTGTCTCGGGGAATCGTGCAAAGCTTCGAAAGACGAAGAGCTATCGAGCCTCAATGACATTCATAGCTAACTAATTAGCCGGAATTTCATTGAAGCCAAGACCCAATTTTGACATCGTGGCACGGTATTTTCCAACTTTTTTTTTAACTGTGTTGACACTAAGATTCACCATCGATTTGATATATTTTAAACTTAGTTTACAAAATGCGTAACTTTTCACAACAGTGGATACGTATTCCAAAGAGTGTAGCTATTTTAAATAACTCCAAATAAACATATGCGTGTATTTTACTGAACGCTCCAGCTTATAAGTGATCTATTATACAGACTACGGTTATGACGCGAGGGTACATATGCATTAGCTTTATTTTTAAGACTACAGTGCTCTTATTATGATACTTTTGCTGTCATTACTGTTTATGAAATTTCAAACATGATATTTGAAATGGCAACTTGCTGATATGAATGTTTTTAATTTTAGTGCTAATAAATAAACTGCATACTATATAGTCTGGTGTTATGCATGAAGACGTTGTTATATTGTAATGTACAGGAACACGAGATTTTGTAGAGGCCTACATTGTTTAATATTTGCAAATTACCTTATTGTGATTTTCAGGATTATTGTTGAATAACCCAGTTTTTAGTATTTCAGGATTATGTATCTTGTATTTATTTATTTTTATTTTTTTTCTGGCGATTAGATGCCATTAAAAAAAAGATTTTGTCTTGTTTATGAGTACTCCTTTTATTTTTACTTTTCTTTAATTGTAAATTGCAAATTTGAAATTCCCCGTTGTGCAACACTTAAACATGATTATATCTTCTCTTATTATGCAACTATATGTTGCATATTGATTTAATAAAAAATATTTATTTTTCTGCATAATTTATAGAAATTAGAGTTTTCCAATTATATTTTGTATGGATGTGTGGCAGCTAGCTATATGACTGGTTGCTTTATGCCCACAGCCCAGTATGTCTCAGGAGTCCGGTGTGGCCTTTCCTCAGAGCACTTCCTCAGGAGGGATGAAGCTAGAAGCAGTGATGGAGCAGCTCCAGCGGCAGCAGCAGGCTCGTCTGGAAATGGAGCGCAAGGAGAGGAAGTTGCGAGAGGCCCACATTATGTATGCACAGCAGGTTGCTGCCCAACAAGCCATCCTGGCTGCAGCTCGGGCGTCTGGGGCAGGTTTCATGGGCAAAGCTATGACCGGAGGGGTTCCAGGTGGCGGGTTACCTCCAAGGATGTCCAATCAAAGCAGTGTGGACTCGGAGCGTGAGGATGATGAGGATAGGGGCAGAGATTCTGGGGAAGAAGATGACGACACTGAAATGATGGAGGGGGACGAGGGTAGTGATGACGAGGGCAGTGCCAGTGGACTGGAGTTTCTTCGCAAGCAGACCCTGGCACTACAGCAGAGTGCCTCTCGCATCCCACCACGCCCTTTTGGCAGCTACTCGGCATCAGCCCCACAGAGGGCAGCTTCCCCACCTGTGAGAGTCAAACAAGAACCTGACGAAGGCCTGTCTCCTGCTGGGGCCCACTCGGCCACCTCTCCTAATGGCCAGGCCGACTGGGGCTTTGATGATCATTTCAGACAGGTTTGTCACCTGTTCTTACTCTTGGACAAGTTGTGTATGTATTGCTGTTATGTCTGTTTTGTCATTTTATGGTGCCAATTTATGTATCTGAAATATGCACCAATAGTTAGATTAAATTGCTGCCACCTGCTACTCTGCGCCTCTGCATCTGCCTAATTGTGACACCAATATTTCCAATGATATAATTGTGAGACTCCTCAAATCTCTGCAGAAAATTGTCCGCCAATTGGCTTTTGAGACAAAAAAAATCCTCCTAAGTGAGCCCTGGCAGAGAGCCAGACTCACGTTCACTACCTCTCCCCCTTCTGTGTGTATTAGAGTGTGTCTCTTGTTCCCAGTTGCTCTTGGCACTTTGCTCAGGCTCTGGTTTGGCTGTGGTCCAGGTAGTAGAGTCAGGCAGCACGCTGCAGCCGTTGTAAGGATGTGGGTGGTTTGGCCGGGTCAGCACGAGGATTTGGGGTGGGTGGCAGGTTAGATGTAGTGCACAGTAGCACTCTCATTCAAACCCCCCTGAACGTGTTGGCACTGTGCCAAGTGGACCTTTCTTCGAAAGTAAATATTGCCTCAGAGAGAATTACAGAGAACTGTGTGCCAACTGGGAACCAGGCCGAGCAGTACTTAAAGATTTGAGCTGTAGTCCAGGACTGAAAGTGTTACAGGAGAGCACAGCACCTTCAGAGTAAGATATAAAAAGCCTGGGTTGCACAAGAGTGGGCAGTGTCAGGGGACATATCTGAGCTTGATCATTGAGCCAAGGGTGCCGGACTATCATGTGTCTAGATTTTATTACTGTCTATTTAAAGGCAAATGTCTTTCAGTGGTGGTTCTCAAGACCACATTTCCTAATTTAGCTTTAGACAGTTTACACTTGTGACGATAGAGACATTATCTGAAGTAATTCAGCAAAATAGATGAGCTGGGAGTGGGTTTTGCGCTTATGTTTTATTAAGCGCTTCATGAAAGCTGAAATCCATGTGATTCTTTCTATAGTATACTATTCCTTTAACTGAACAACACAACAGCATTGATGAAGGGTTTATGTCACTGCATGATCCCAGTTGAACAGTGAAAAATGGCCTTGTTCAGTTTTAGTCAAATAATATCAGCATATTTAGGGTCTTTTATCAGGAAAGGTGGGCTATGCCTGGGGGTTGGGGTAGGCATTATAGGACGAGAATTGGTCTGGCCTTTTTGTTTCCTCTCTTTTATCTTTCCTGTCATTATGTCAGCTCTGCAGTATTTAATGACGGCTCATCTCTTCAGGCAGTTTCAGGTTGCATCGCTAAAGGGGGAGGGGGGCAGTTCATTCAGGGGAAGGTTTTTTTTCTTCTCATGTCATTGTCTTTTGAGAGGCCTGAAACAAGTCTGACAGATGCCGCAAATACTCGCACCCTTTTCTATTAAGGGAGGAGAACATATTTCTTATCTCCTATGGGGAAGTGAGCTGGAATTTCAGTTACTTAATAATACATTATTGTGTTTCTTATTATTTACAACTACATTTTTAAGAGATTTGTTACAAATACTGTCACAAATCAATCCCACACAATTCACTCTTAAAACCCCTAGCCTAAATAATTATTTCTACTTATGTTTAAGGCTTAGAAGGTTATTTTAATCATAGAAAAAGTGTAAAGAAGCTAGTACTTCTTAATTACCTGACATGTTTCGGAGGAAGACTTCAACTTCCGCCTTTGTCAGAGGTCTGACAAAGGCGGAAGTCTACCACCGAAACATGTCACGTAATTAAGCAGTTCGTACTTCTTTTACACTTTTTGTCTTATCAAAAGAACCTTCTTAGCCTTAAACATCCCCAGCCTATACGTTACCTGAGTGAAATGTGTGCATGAGTCTATGAGGCGAACATCATGTCAGAGGAGGAGGATTGACATGGGGGGGTCATGGTTTTGTGTCAGTGATGTATGTGAAGTGACCTCAGCCCTGTGCTAAACGGCAAAGTAAATAATTGTCAAACAAGAGGATGGACAATGGCGTCGCGTGCAGGGCACAGGAGAGACAGCAGGCCGGTCAAGGCACTCCTGCCTCTTCCACAGTGGGACAGAGGCTGCTTGACCCCTGTAATCCGCCCCCTACCAGTGTTGGGCACGTTACTTTGAAAAAGTAATTAGTTATAGTTACTAGTTACTTCTCCCAAAAAGTAACTGAGTTACTAACGGAGTTACTCCACTATAAAAGTAACTATTGCGTTACTTTTTCGTTTTGTTCTGGAACATAATGTGCACCCGACGTGCGCATTTTTACCTTTAACAGTGCCAATATTTCCATCTAGAAAAGGCTGTTTTGCTGCTGAAGTCCTGTTCACTCTTCATCTCTCACTGTGCTGTCAGCACTAAACACCGACACCCGCCACTGTGAATGTGGAAACACCGGTGAAGCACTGACTTCAGCCCAATCAGATGAACATATATATCATATAAATCAAGTGGACAGTTTGTTTGGCTACAGCAAAATATGTTTCATGCCCGCATTGTTTGTTCATACAAAACGCAAAACTGTGAGTTATGGGTCTTACCTTATAAATGACCTGCACAGTCCACTTCGGTTCAGACCAGTTCCATGTTTAAGTCCAGATAATAGTTTGAGCGTAGATATGTAATCCTCCATTTGGAAATGAGTCCAATGAGTTTTAAAAAGTAAAACAAAACGCGTGTGTCCTCCATAAACTCCTGTGTTTTGCTAGCGGCAGCCGAGTGCATCCAATTTCTAAAATCAACCGTCTTACACTTCACCTCTCTTTCTTATCATTCCTATAGTAATTGAAAAATTACCCTATGTGCATTTTACATTATGTAAAAATGTGTTATATGTATGTTAGCCAAACCTGTTGCTGTCCTTAGCAGATAAACCAGGAAGAGAAAGGAGCTTATCCATGGAATTGTATGCAGTCGACTTCTGCGCTCACATGCGCTCCTCTGAGGCTGACCTCACGGTGATACAAGCCGTGGATGAGCGCGATTAAGACCCATATTTGTTTCAAAAACACAATTTATGAGCCATCCTCTCAACTGTAGACATGTAGATTGTAAAGGAAATATGTTTTACATCAGCCAATAATTGCTGAGAGGTTTTCTCATCCTCCCTTCTCTCATGACAACACGTTCATTGTGCGTCTTGAGTAACGCGCAGTAACGGGATGTCGGAAATGATAACGGCGTTATAGTTACTGTCAAAGTAATTAGTTAGATTACTCGTTACTGAAAAAAGTAACGGCGTTAGTAACGCCGTTACTAGTAACGCCCTTATTCCCATCACTGCCCCCTACACACATGTCTGAGACCCCCTCATAGAATCCCTGTGTGATTAATATACGTTTAATCATGCCACTGCTATACAGTTTGTGTATTTTACACACAAAGAGTCAATAATGTTGCACATTGAGAATTATGTTTCTGAAACAGTAGCCCTACAATAACATATCAAATCCTATATATTGTATACCAATAACCAACTTGAGATTGGTTTTATGTAATAAATATAAATATTTTATTGCAGAAGTGTGTTCAAATGTTTAAGGCTCAATCTGATTGTATTACTAACAACAAAACCATTTATACTCTATTGCAAGGAAATTACTGACCCAAGTCATGGGTAAGTAGTCCACAGTTGGTAATTATTCCATTGGGGGATTGAAGTGCAGTATATGTGAGTGAAAAATATATCTTAGGCTTTTTGTCTCTGCGACTCAAATGAGCATGAAGACAAAAGCAGGGCAAGTCTGCATTTGCATAGCAGGATTTGTTTGCAAGGGTAGAGAGATGACGTACAAACATACACAAGATCAATGATCCCCTGTCATCACAATGTAAGTTTGAATAGGAAGTTATTGAATCTCAGTCAGGTGCAAAATCTCATTGTAGCTGGGTGACCAGACCAGATTTATTGTGATGGACAATTCAGCTATTGCATTTGCTCCAGTAAATCTACGTTGAGGCAGAAGCACAGCAATAATGTTTGCAGGTTTGATTCACGTGTCGGCTGGTTCTGTCTGGGTTTGTCTGGAGTATGTTTCGCATGGGCGCTCTGGTTAAGATATCAAGATAGTCTTGACCAAGAGTGTCAACATCTGGAGTCCCCTGACGATTCACTGTAGTGACCACTGCCCTTACTGGTTGCGAGATAGGTCTCCCATTTGCCACAAGCTTGAAGTACACCAATTTAATATTGATAATGCAACAACTATTTAGGAGATAGACTAGATTAGAAATTTGAGTTTACATGATTTGATTAAGAAAAATAATATGGTCATTTGATAATTTAAGTCTCTTCAAAAAGACGTTGTTAAGTGGTTTACAGTCCATGTTCATGGATCATGACTTTATATTTAGTGTCCTTTAACTAAATTTCCATTTTCTTCGTGCTATAGTTATTTGACGATCTCAGCTGGCAGTTTATATGGTCTTTCAAAATAATAATAATAATAATGCATCGGTTTTATATTGGGCTGTTTGGGACACTCAAAGACGCTTTACATGTCATTATTCATTCACTCCAAACACGGTGGTGATAAACTACTACTGTAGCCACAGCTGCCCTGGGGCACACTGACAGAAGCGAGGCAACCAGTACGTGCCACCAGCCCCTCCGACCCCCACCAAATACAGTGTTTATGGGGAAGTCACATAACAATAGGAGTGTGACGATACTTTCTCCCGCGATTCGATTATTGATATGCATTTGCCAAGTATCGATATTGATTTTGAAAAAAAAAAAAAAAAAAAAGATTTTTTTTATTTTTTATTTTTTAGATTTAAAAAAAAAAATTGGTATCAATACTATGGCTACATTACGCATCTCCATTCCATTTATCATGAAATAAAGTGTAGTTTTTCTTTTATTTATGCCATAAATTGGCATATTGTATATTTCTGACCAATATATCGTCATATCGTGATAAAATCGTTATCGTGATATCGTTATCGTGATAATATCGTTATCGTGAGCTTTGTATCGTGTATCGTATCGTATCGTGAGGTACCCTTAGGTTCCCACCCCTACATAAGAAGGTAGTCACAAATACAAATGTGGAGTACATACATATTAAATAAAAAATAAAAATGATTTAGTAAATGAGATTTCATCTTTATATTATCTTTAGATTTCAAAAGTTAACTTGCCATTTTAAGATACATTCTTATTTCATATATGTTGTGCTGTCCATTATTTCTAACGTGATACCTCTGCAAGAGATGTGGCAATACAACTACATTGCCTAGTCTGAATTTGGTGGTAGTCAGAAGTAGAGGTTGACCGATTATCCAGCTAATTATTATCCAGCCGACTGGTCGAAACCACATTTATTAGTCTACAATACAACACAACAGCTGTGCCTCATGTTGTAACACAGTCACACTGTATTTGTACCTAAACAAAGCTGTGTCTGATTAGTTCAGTTTTATCT